TTGGTACACAAATAACCCGCAATGATAATGTTTTGTACCCATCAAATATCTTGAAAGCAATAAAAGAACCAAAGGAGTTTTTCATGCGACCATTGCACTGTATGAACTCAAGGCAGCTGCAACAAAGCAGCGAATGTCCAAAATAAATAATCCTCTTCAATCGCGAGTTAGGAAATAGGAACTCAAAAACAAAAGGCACTAGAAACATTTTTCTTATGGCAGGATGATTTGAAAATTCTACCAATGTAGCTGAAGTGTCCTCACATAATGAAAATGAAGAGACTGGATATGGATGTTTACTTCGCTTGGGGGTGAGAAGCAATGAAGTCGACAGCAAGATTGATGGAATTGATCTTGTCTGCTTCATTATCTGGGATCTCAAATCCAAATTCTTCTTCAAGCGCCATGACGATCTCCACTGCATCCAAACTATCTAACCCAAGATCATTTTGGAAATGGGCATTGGGTGTGACCTGCAAATGGGAAAAAAAATATTAGAGATAAGAGAAGGATACAAACGCACCATCTAGTGAAAACAATACCACAATGGAAATTTTATTTGTAATAATTAATAACCAACCTATCAGAAACCTCTAGAATACTGAATACCATCTCTTGGTCGTCAAAGCAAAGAGATGTGCAGGGAAAAAGGGGAAGAAGAAAGGTGCTGCTGGTTTGGAAGATTCCCAAGTGAATCTTTCTTAATCCTTTTTGGAAATTAAGTAAAAACAAACATTATCAGATACCTACACATTCTAGTATCTATATCTCACAGGACAGGTGAAAAGCTAAAATAAATGGACAAAGAGAATCCTAATTGTTTTCAAGATTTCCAAGTCAAAGATCCTTCTAATGAGTGAACAAAAAGAGAACACTAAGGGTTTTGGTATCTTGTCTCATGGCAACAACTCAAACTTAAAAGTTAAAACATGTATTTTCAGATAATGATGCCAATAAAATGAGAATCTAATATCTATCCACCTCCACAAAACAGAAATATTGACCTTTTCATTTCATCTATTCCCCATTTCCTTACCTAAATTACAAATTTCTCCTTCAGTATTTAAGACCAAAGAAACAGAGTTTGAAATGCAGAAGAAAGAAAATCAAGCATCATCATTGTTCGTTTTAGCATGGTCCATCCATTTCGAAAAATAATAACAGAACCAAAAAAGCAACATACAATAGTACTCCAACTATTGAAAATTTAAAATGAACCTAGTCAATATAATATCCTTCATTATTAGTTCTCTATGAAACTATTACAGGATGATAAAATATCTTAATTACTAGAGTGCTTTCGATGCTATTAAAAAAATAAAAAACCCTTAATTACTAGGGTTGAGTAGAATATAACTTAAACCACAAATATGCTGAATGAAATTACTAGCATGAACCTCCACTACCAGGAAATCCCTCAATTCAGCTTACGTCCTTGGGCAGCAGATAATGCAAGATATGCAGATCAGGATTCTGATAATATTTCAATAAGGGCTTTACATTAAATTTTAATGCGAGCAACAAAGCATATATTTTAGTTCCATGCCTTATCTGTGGTATACATTTACTAGAGAAACTTAGCTACAGTTATCCATGAAGATTCCAGGGAACATGTTTTACATTATCTTCTTAGCTATTTTTTGTCAAAATTTCTCACTATAAAAAATATTTCTTTGTGTAAACAGCATATCATAACAACCAAGAACCATCCTTCAGCAATCCATTGGCAAGTGAGAAAAGTTCTCCATTCAGAAGATCTAAAATCGCTGCAATGACTAAAGGACCAAAATTCTATTTTCAATCAATTTTGAGTTGATTTCGAAAGCAACATAAAGCATAATGACAAGAACCACGATCTAGAAACAAATTTACAACTCACAAGTTTGGACTTAATGGCACAACTCATATCTCTGTTAGTTTGTCTATACACTAGACCCTCTTCCATGAATGCTATCCTTCTTCATTTGGTTGCTAAGAAATAGGGAGAAGATAATAAATAATAATCTAAATGTAAATTTCAAAGCCTATAGTTATGTGCTGCCAAACCACACCTTTTCTCCCATTTCTCCACTACTTCTTGAAGAAACTTAGGGACCTATAATCTCCTCCTTTGAATGAATTTTCCTCGAAGGAAACGAACACATTCAGAAAAAAATACAAAAAAAAGGGGATTTGAAGAATTCTTTTAAATTGCTCAGCCTTTTAGAATTAACTCAGCCAATGGATAAGTAAAAAAAATTCCCCAGAAGTAGTAGGATTCGCCTTATAATTTAAGAATTTTAACTTGTCAAAACAAAATCCCTAAATGCCTAATGAATTCAAGTTTTTCTTCTTTACTTTTTCCTATTTCCCCAGTGTACACAATCTCATTACTACCAGTTTTTCCTTTCACATTTTTTATTCCAATAGCAATTACCAATACACTCCACACTAACTACAGCATACAACCCTAGAGTGCATCTGATCCTGAAATCAACATAACTACCTAAGAATCAATTTCATTGTAATTTTTCTTATTCAAAATTCCAACTCTACTTATCCCCACAATAACCAGAAAGGGAACGATGGGCTTTCTCAAGAAAGTGGAAAATGAAGGCTCGGAAGTAGAAAGGACAAACCTTTGAGGGATCGACTTTCTGGAAGTTCTTGACGACGGAGATAACGCGATCAGTGACCTCGGATTTGTCGAGGAAAGATCCCCTGACCTCCTCCGAGAAGCGACGCCGAATCCCATTGAATGTGAGCTCGAACAGGCCATTGCTGTTAGGGCTAGGATTTGGGCGCAGAGAACTGACGTTCACCCTCAGGTACTTGAGCAGAGCTCCTCTCGCCGCCGCCATTAGATAACAGTCTATATAAGCGAAATGGAAGAAACTCCTCTACTTGTCTGGAATTCGAATGGCGTAGAAATTTGTTGGTATAAAAACGCGAATGGTATACAAGGGAAAGTAACTTTACGACGCCGTATAACTGAAGTTTCTTTAACAAAAAAACGCGAATAGTACCCAGGCAGGAAGCACCTCCACGACGCCGTATAAGTTGAAGTTTTTCTGCCTGAAAATTGCCGTGGGAGAAAAGGTGGGAATAAAATTTTTTATTTAAAAATATTAATTTTATTAATTTTAATGTAAAAATTTTAATTTTTTATTTTTTATTTAAAAATATCAATTTGTAACTTTTTTTAAAAAAAATTAAGCATGTTAATATTTTTTAAAATTTTCATTTATCATATCAATATTATATTTTATTAAACTTTAAATAAAAAAAATTAAAAATTAGTATTTTAAATTAAAAAAATAAAAAATTAATAATTTAATAAAAATTAAAAATTAATATCTTTAAATAAAAAATAAAAAATAAATATTTTTATTTAAAAACTAATAAAATTCATATTTTTAAATAAAAAATACAAAATTAATAATTGTTATTTACATATTTTCACACTATTCCCGCGTGCCCATGCAAAGGGGTGAGCGCATCCCAAACTCGTAACTGTCCATAAATGGGCCTCAAGCACCTCAGGCTGTAAATCCAAACCAAACATGCAGCAGCACAGAACGAATATCAACACGTATGGATTGATTGGATCTTCTGGGACAAAATCCAATTCAATCCAACCCAGCCCACTAGATGTGTTATTATATAAGAAAAATCACATTTCCATCCCTATTAACAGCTGAAAACGAAGTGAAGGACATGGTGCTGCTGCTCTTCCTCTCTCTGTTTCTCCTTCCCCTCTTTTATCTCCTCTTCAAATTCGCCACTGCTGATGGTAATTCTGCAACCCTATAAACACCACCCTTTTGGCTTTCAAATTACGTTGCATTTCGAGCTCATTGAATTCTTCTCTCTGTGTTTTTTCACTCCCTAAATCTTTTGACCCATTTCAGGCGATTTTACGTTAACGTCAAAGAGGCATGTAAAGCGCGAGGAAATCGAAGACAAGGTTATATTTTCCTTTTTCTTTTGTTTCAAATTCTGCGTTTCTATACCCATGTGGGTGTTTATGGTTTTGTTAATTTGTTAGGTGGTTTGGATCACTGGAGCCAGCCGTGGAATTGGTATGAAGTTCTAGTCTTTCTGTTTTGTTTTGTTTTTGTTTTTTTTTTTTTTTTTT